TTCACCTTCCCATAAATATCTCGTAAGTTCGCAGAAAAGCGGATTACTAAATAGATGCATTTTACATGATCGGATGTATAGGAAAAGCGCGAACGACAAAGTGAGTTTTATGATATCATCAAACTTCCCTCATTACAAGGTTTAAACTTCGAAACTAACCGCGATCAGACATTCAAAAAGCTGTATATGAGTGAATTTTGATATAGAATATAATATGACTACATAATTCTACATTCTCGCGAGCAACTATTTTCACGCCCGCCAGCGCTTCCGCATATTATTCATCATATAGTATTAATAATATTAATAATATTATAAAACATGTATTGTAAATTTACATAATTCAACAATACTATTGTCAGAGTGCATGAATTAAATTAAAAAATAACTTTCTGTGAAAGTAACGTATTAATGCATAATTAAAAGGAAAACGTTATAAATCCGGAGTCCAACATGAGAACTGCACGTAGTATCAGCATATTTATGTAAAATATTATTAAAATGCAATTGTTTCATAATCTGATATTGTGCTTTATAGAACCGCAGAAAGGATATTCAATAATTGCAGGCGTATCTCGAATATATCCGGTAGCTATTTATGTTAATCCTTGAAATATCGCAGAAATATAGTCCTGCCGTCATTAATACCAAAAAGTGTAACACCTGTACGTAGCAAAATTTTACAACTTGGAAGCATCAAGCTATTTTATGAGAAAGCAGCGCTGACGATATTGATCACGATACAAAGCAGAAGCGACTATACGTGTTGCGAAGATATAAACGGCGCATTACTGATAATGTACTCGATATGCATGAATTTTGTTTCAAAGTCAGTAAAAATAAAATGTAAACATACAGTTTGCAAACGATAAATTGATTGATAAAATCTTTTATCATTTATTTGACGCGAGATAACGCCCGCGGCGACGTGAGATCGTAGCACAAAGGAACAGATGCTACATAAACACTTGTAGCATACACATATGTTCTATAACTTAACATTTTCGCAACTATTTGCCGAAAATTGAATTTTTACGATAAGATATCTATAAGATATCTATAAGAGAACGCGTAAAATTTAATAAATTTGTTCAAATTTTCAATATAAATTCACGTATCTTCTTCGCGTATGTCTGATAAGAAAATATTGGACAGAATAAAAAGAGTTAATTTCAAAAATAATAAAGCGAATCGTACGTTGCGTATAAGACAAGACGCGGATAAAGCAAGATCGAAAGAATAAATAACAATAAGGTATGTTATTTATGCAAATAATGTAAATTGCTAAACCGAAAAGATGTTAATCATAATATATATTATATATATTTATATATGCACGATAAAAGACAGGTTTAATAAAATCTGATGTTAAGTCGATATGTAGTTACAATACCGACAAATCGCCTCACATTATTCGGCGGGGGGGATAAAATCGCGACACGCTGCTACAATAACAACCTGTGAAAGCTGCACTATCGCTTGCGGCGCGCTAGATAATTCAATAATGAAACACGTGATCAGATAACAGGCGATGTATAACGAAACGCATAGAATCTTGACACATGTCAACGCGATCGTATCTCTAACATGTGCGTTTCGTAAAGTCCGTTCCATCATTATCTGCAATATCAGTAGGTATAAAGAGTTACACGTTGGAATCAAACACTTGCGATTTCATAAAACGCAGTGAAAGATCCGCGCGAACAAAGGAACTACGCAATCGTCCGGCTTGAAGGTTTAATAAACGAAAATAGGTCGAGCTCCGATTGCCGGAGTCACGTTTTCCGGAAGGATATTAATTTAACGATATCGATATTTCAGTTTGTATATTTGCAGCGGGGGGGGGGGGATATAACTCGGTCATCTCGAAGATGATCAGACAAGTTTCAAGATTTAATAATTAACTTCGGAAATAATAAGACGAAGTAAGAAAATAACAAAGTCAACTGTTCGTTTCATTGTTATCAAACTCAACGAAACAGAAGCAACACGGTTGCAAACCGACGCGGTTTAGTTTTTCAGACCTTGAAACCAAGTTCAAGTAAACAAATTGATTTTAAATAAACTATTGGCGCAACAAAACTCAACCGGATGATATCTGTATCAACAAAACGATTGAATGACAACAATGCTGTTGATAAAATGGATTTCTCTCATCAATTTTCCCATCAGTCGTTGATTGCAATCAATAATGACATACGAGCGATGTAAAAAGTGTACGTACATGCGCATATAATTTCGGTGCTCCCGGCGTTCCGTATAATTTCATATTTCTAGCGCGGACGCGTGCTCGTACATTCGACGAGTTATCGTTTTGTTTGTCGATGCTTGATAGTACTTATTCGTCATGCATGCAGCTTTTAGTTACAAACACAATAATACATGACGTTCGCCAACAGTATCGCGTGAATGTGTACACGCACAAGTTTACGCTCCCTTCACACACTTGTACGCAATGCAAATTCAATAATTGAAATTAATGCCGGAGTCTAACTAACAATAAGTGCTAAAATTGTGAAGCTGGCGTAATCAAACATTTGAAGCGCCTGACAATACTGCGAGTGATAAATACTGCAATTAAATTGATGCCATCGATCAATTAAATTAAAGCCACGGATAAACTAAGTGTTCCGTTTCTATCTAAATTTTGTGTATTTGGTGCGATTACGGATTTTCTTCACGCGCGCGCAAATCGTCGCGCCTTTAATTGTACGTTAATCGCATCGGCGATGACAAGTGTCAACGTAATCAGACGGCGCGATGTCTGGCCTGACATGTACGGACATGCAACACGTGATCGGAGATCCGAACGGGCATAAAGCGGATGCGAGAACGAGTTACGCGCGCGGTGTATGCGTCGCTGTTGCATCGCGGCCTCCAGAGAAATTACGTGTCAGGTGCACGTGAATGTCGCGGTGAAAACGGTAAATCACTGCCGCTACCGTCAGAAGACGTGTCTCGGCGAGGAGCCGAGAAAAATGCGAACGTTTAACCGCCCCCGTCACGTTATTACTTAACTCAAACTGTTCGTCGCGAACATAAACACGCAGAGGACGTAAGTCGGCGGCAAAAGCCGTTAAATTGCGTTTCCGCTCAGCTTTTCGGCCAAATTAATAATGTAAAATATGTGGGCGACACTATTATTAGCGCAAAGAGAAATTTTAAATGCCAAATGATATCGATCAAACTACGCAAACAGCGCTATTGTTACATGCCTAATTGCGATTAATTTGTAATGGATCGTCAATTAATCAGTCCATTACTTTCTCCGTATAGAAGTCGCTGCAATAATTATCGCGGGCGTATTAATATGCTACAAAGAGTGTAGCTCGACGTGGAGGCCACCTGCTTTCCGAAAGGATGTAAATGTCACGACATAAATTCGACTCGTGTGGTTTGCGCATGAAAGCCGGAGAAAAACAGCGGAAAGTGTGGGGCGAGTCGCAACGGTGCATTTCAATGACCCACATTTCGGGTGGCCGAGCTATCACACTTCGGCGCAAATTTGCATCGTCCATCGATACGGCCATTCGAAAGCTGAAAGGTGGATGAACAAAACTCGCAATATCCATTCAGTAGCCGAGATACATAAACGCGAAAATGGCCAGCCTCTCCGGCTGGATGCATCGACGCGAATAACTCGTGTGAGCCGAAAAAAGATGGAATAAATTTCGCCCGCCGAATGTGCATCCTCAATGATCACGCGTTCATGTACCGAACGAGCGCTCGCCTTTCGTGCTCGCCGTCTATTTCGGCACATATGTACGAAATGTATGCACCGATGTAAACGACAGCCGGACTTTCTGATCGATGCGAGTTCTATGGCCGACGACAAGCGAGTATTCGATAAATTTAGACACGACACGATATCGCGGGAATGTCGATGCGCCAATGCCTGAATCGATTGGAAGAGCGTACTAAATGTTACATATCGCTTTTCTTACTCCGCAAAAATTCGCATTGAATTTTACAACAACATAGTGGCTTGAATATTTCAGAACATCAATCTGGATTAGCGAGTTTGTCGCGTGGCAAATATTAAATTTTCACCACTACCGGTAAGAGCTTTGTAAGTCAATCGCGAGACACTAAAAGGTCCGTTTAATTTCCGAAACGCGTACACGATACACGATTGAGCGCGTCGCGTCTGCCGAAATGTCATCGCGATTCACGATGCTCAACGGATTCTCGCGGGATGCCGTTTTCTGTTGCCGCGTTAGATATGCACGCGTCATACATGTATCAGCCCGTACCATTACGAAGGTATAAATCCTACGAGCCGATATCGCCATCGACAAAAGACGTGCCGACGTGAAGAGAAGAAACTACCGCCGGGCTCTCACGTTGCCGTGAAGCGCGAGAGAAGAAAGTATCCGCGCAAATACGCTTCCTTCCGTTCATGCAAAAACTTTCACAAAATAAGTTTGCCGCTTGATATTCTTTACCGTATTTCGTATTTATCCATATTCACGAACATGCGCACAAATAGCATATATGCACAACGCAAAAATTTTTGAATACTTTGATATACGAACTGCAAAAATCATCAAATGGAACGCGGTAAGAATATTAAAACTCTTATTGACCTACTTCGCGCGTGTAACACGTGAAACGCAAATAAATAGCGCTATAGTTATACGGGGAGATGCAGTTTGCAACAAAACAGCGATAAAACGACTACCGATTTCCAGAAAATATTGATACACACGCTCCGTGCATCAAATTCGCAGCCGAATCCGTGCATTTAACGTTTAGACAGATATTGGATGGGCGAAAAGCCAACTGTCACTTGCACCGCGCTGTTATCTTTTAATGCGCAGGTATAAAGCGAATTATTCGCAATTAACACACCCCTGCTGAACCGGTGCGCATTTCTAGGCTGAAGCAAATCCCACGGATATCTCACTGCCTGATTTAAACAGGCTGACGACGGCAACGCGGATCATTTGCGGCATCGATCGGCGCGCTTATAGGATTAGAATGACAGTGAAAAAACTCACATTCTCTTCGACGGTCTTCTTGATTTTCACGCTGGCCTCCACCACGGTCTTCCCGGCCTTGTTCACAGCGCTGTACAAGAATCCGCCGAAGCTCTTCGCGCCCGCCAGCGCCTTTGTGGAAACTGTAGGCAGAAATGGAAAAAGTAAAATGAAAATGAATGCGACGTTCTCGTGAGAGTAAACTGTTCGTCGCGCAGTTAACTGCAGGGGCGCAGTTATCGTGTAAAAATAAACTAAGCGTAGGACTTCCGTGGCTATTTTTCTTCCAGGCAGAAAATATCCCGTCTCTGTTCTTTAAGAATCGCTAATTGGAAAAAGAAAAATAGTGTCGTTCAATTTAATTGCTAGCTTTCGCCCTGCTTATTTCAAAACGCGAAAATACCAGACTGCTATTTGATATTAATAATACAGAGAGCATTCGATTTTGTGAAAAAAAATTCTAGTTAGGTCATCGCATTAATTGAAAGGTCGGAGCTCGATGCTCCTGAATCAATGTGCAAACAGGATCGCTGGCTTGTTCCAACCCAGATACGTCAGGTAGATTTCTCATGAGACTCTTTTGCCGGGAATTCTGACTTCGCCATTTATCACGGCTCGATGAGAAAGTGAGACGAGCGTACGGCGATAGTCGCTCCACCGCGGAAAGACGTGTTACGAGCTGTTTCTCTGACGTTAAATATAAACACCGAATCGTTAGTATATACAATTTTCATGGTATCGCGCCGCCAGATGTTTCCGTTACGCGATGTAGCTTTGCAGTGCAATCGCGGTTTAGTACTGCAAGTTGTATGCCAAATGTTGCAAGTTTATTAATTTTAATATGCACTTCTGTTTTATTAATTATATTCTGTTTTATTAGTTATATTAATTTGAACATATAATGCAATTAAAACAATAAATCTACACTACAGTTTGTTTCTTTTCGCAATATAAAGTTTTAAAATTGTGTAGAACATATCAAGTCTTGTAAAGCAGAGACGAGTTGTCTTTTTTTTTCTACATTAATTCCATTTTACCTTCCATATGGCTAACACGCGAATAACACGGCAGAGAGAATATTAACTAAATGGTCTGTAGGGGACGTATCGCCGTATGAAAAATAGAAAATGAAGCAATGTCCACGGTAGAAACGCTGCTACATCGTATTACGCGACATGCTACAAGATAGATATACCACGCGATATAACATCTAAATCACGATCCGCAAATAGAACAGCGTGGTCATTTCCTCGTCTATCGCATCAGCTTGCGACAAGTTACACACACTGACATTTACGCTTTCGATAAAATAAAAAACGATTCACCTCTTCTTATAGCTTTACCGACTCGTGGAAAAGGTCGTCCGCTCTTGGTCTTCGGTCTCGGCGTTTCGAACTGCGCCGCCATGGAGTACCTCATCGTGCGTAACAACATATTAATTCGCTCGTAACCTAGAGCACTTTACAAGTTGCCTCACGGCAAAAGTGTAATTGGTCCTTCTCGAAATGCCTGCGAGAGTATGTCCGCGACGTTATCGTTAATTTAACTCGGGAAGACTTCGCTCAAGACATTGATTACATGTCAACTGCAGTTTCAAACTTAATTTCATCATTTAAATTTGTATCAAAATTTCCAACCAAAAAAATAGTAAAAGAAAACAAGTTAAGTAGTATCGTTGAAGCGAAGATTCTCGTGAACCATGGAATTATAAAAAATACCAGTCAAATACAAAGGCATGGCATCTCCCCGCCACGGAGTGGAACAATGAAGGAATAATAAAGACTTAAAGTAACTGACGAGAAAATTCAGAAATTCTTGAAATGGGGCCAACCAGAGTGCGGCGTCGTCGTTCTATACAAAAGAGCCATAGAAATAAAACTGGAATACCTAGTTAAGTCTTTGCAGCTTTTAAATGGCGTATATTAATTTTTTTATGAGTTTTACAACAGCTATGTTGTACCACAACGGCGCTAACGCTTCCTTTATCCGCAGGACACTAAAATCATTCGCGAATTTCACGAAGGAGGCATCTTTACTCGTGGAGAGCGAGAGCGCGTGGAGCGATTTCGCAGCTGTATAAAGCGAGGGCAATTTAATCAAGCGGATTGCGGCGCTTCGATTCGCGCGGTTTATTCCCTGTCTATTTCCATCTGACCGCCGCGGGCGGCCATTAAGAGAAACGAATCGACGTAAAGTACGTGCACGTCGGGGCGCGGCGCTACGTCGCGTCGCGATGCTTAATAGTCGCTTCCGAAAACGCTTAATAAACGTCTCGCGTCGAGGAGATGCCGGCGCTACAGATAATTGAGGCCGGTGTCTGGGTTACACAAGAGGGTTTAGTTACTGTATCCCGAGGCATCCGAGAACCGCTAAACAATTGCCAAGTATCATACCCGCCCATGTCACGGGAAGATAATTTGTTACTATACCAAAATTGCGAAATTTGCCGCAGAGAGTGCGTTGTAATGCATGTAATCGGCTTGGGAGTGTTCAGGCGATTTTAGCCCGAAATCGAGAATTTTGATGCAGCGAGAATGCACAGCTGTAACGATCGACCGCTTCGTGGAAAGAAATGCACTATGTCACATCCGTAATACGAATGTAATAAAACAAAACCTATTTCCGTGTTTTTTTTTTTTTTTTTTTGGTGTGATGTAATGAGGAATTAAAATAGCGTCGATGCTCTCGTAAGTACAAAAGTACAGTGACAATTACAAACGACCGGGGGAAAATCTCCCAAGAACTGGCTCACCAATAGCATCCATCGTGTCCGACGATAATTGCGTCGCAACTGATATATGAGGCGAGTTCGTTAACGTTCTACCCTATTTTATTTTTACAAGAAAGATAGCACGAATTTCAGCAGCGAGAGAAAATTCGTTCCAAGTCGTCGGCGACCGACGGAAAGTTCGCTCGGCCGTCGGCGACACCGCTGAGCAAACTTTTTCGTCGCAGAACTCCGGTATGACGTGACGAGAAAATCTCGTGCTACATGTCACCGGTATGAGCACAGTTCGCAATCATTTAGACGATGTCACGAAAGAAGAAGAGGACACACACGAAAGATATCGACGTACGGACGTTCACTCACTTCGTAGTAATTCGCGCGACTGTTCACTCTGAAACTTCGATAAGATATCGATATATTTCAGACGATAAGGAATCAACGTCGACTTAATTAAATAACAATCGACACAAGTTCGTTGCGCGCAAAATGCGGCAGTTTTAAAGTAATAAATCTCGACAGTTTTAAAGTAATAAATCTCGACAGTTTTAAAGTAATAAATACCTCAAAATAAAATAACTTGACATAATTTTTTTGCACGCGATCTGTTATTAATATCAAATTTTAATGTAATAGTTATATATAATAATAAAATATTTAATTCTTACATTTTTTTTAATTTTAACACAGATATAACTTGTTTTGAATATTGTTCCAATAATATCACATTACTTTTGACAAATCTATTAACGAATCGATCGAATCTACTTGATATCTAAGCGAAAAAAAGTAAGAATATATTGCACCGAGAAAAATACGTATATAATTGCTATATTCTTATTCAACGAGTTAAAGATATAATTATCCCTATTTGATTTCCTTATATAATTCCGGTAAACGTCTCGCTCAGGAGGGTCGCATATATACATCAACGGTGTACTCCTTTGTGATAGTGACACAATCCTTGCATCATCAGGTCTTGTCCGGTACGTTCGGGGTTGATAACGTCGATAATTGTGTAATATGTCGGAAGGGTAATGGCAACTAAGAAGCGCATGGTCATAAAGGAAGCGCACTATGACCAAAATAGTGCTCCTGCGACCCATTAACGACAACAGTTCCGCCATGTGATATAATGCGGGATCTACGACGCTAACAGCTGTTGAGCAGTTATCACTTCTTATCTGATAACAATGTCTACTACCGCGCTACGCGCGCGCACAAAAATGATCTGATAAAATACTCATACGCGATGACACCCGTGAAATAAACATATATGGCGGCGCACATTAAACTGTCATCGACAACGTTTGTCACGCTATCCGGAAATTCGAGCATCGAAGCGGTAACTGTATTAGCTTGTAAATAATGAAGAGCAGGCAATCAGAACTACTGCCAAGAGTTTTCAAATTATATGATTATGTGCCAACTGAGGCAAAATTTGACCTTGTATTTCTGCCTATCGCGCTCATACCTGTCGAGAGAAATTGATCTCAAATATAAAATCGATTTTATGTTTATATTTTCCGTCGTTATTATAACATGTTACATCGTTAAATATTATAAACTGCAAGCATAATAAATAATTTAAATAATTATTCAAACCACAGTATCCAAAAATGACTGATAAAAGTAGCCATTTATTAATAAGTGCAATGTTCTGTGGAGAACTCGGAAATACTTTCTTAGGAATTTTCTACAGTATCTAGTAATTAAATAATTCACTATAAGTAATTAAATAATTCCGTAAATTAAAAGTATGTCCGTCGCAACAGTTTTATCGTGATTTCGAAACTGATTTCACGTTACACAGCAGTTGTCTTACGTATTTCTCTTTCAACATTAGTTTCTCGCAAAGTTTGTTCAGTAAGTAACAAATTCTTGAAATTATTGATATTTCTCTTCGAAAAATAACTTGAAAAGAGATCCGAATCCAAAGTAAAAGATCAAATTCTCTCATATCAAGCAGACACTCTCGCAAAAGAACTTTTTGGAGCAACGAATTCAGCGCATTCGATATTCCATGTTGAGTCGCGCTCACGAAAGAACTATCGCGGAGACAATATGGAGAATAGATAAGAGATCTCTCTCTCAACAGCAATCTCTCTGTCCCCACTTCAATATGATTTAATAAACCGGTAAAACCGTATCCAAACTAAAAATAGACTACACGTTCGTTCAATTCCATCGAGAGACGAAGTCTGCCGGTTTATCATTGCGTTCGAGTCTTCGTCCCGATTTATCGTTTCGACTCCGTTCAATCCCGCGATAAACCAGACGGAAAATTATCTGCGATGTCGCTGTGAAAAATGAGTAAAGTACGAGAGTAATAGGAATGCACATTGATCCTCGACAATAGCATCACGAACAAGATGAGTTCAGTGCAGCATCCCCGGGTTCAGAGAACCGGCACTAGGT